CTTTGCGAAAAGGGTCAAAGAATCCCTCAGGGTCTAGTTATACAAAAAACCCTGGGGCCCATTCTCACCTACCAGTGCGGCTGCACAAAATGGACCGCAGTCTGCACTGGTCACTTTTGTTAAATTCCAACTCAGTAACCCACCGCGGTCCACACAAAATGGACTGCGACCGCGGTGGTCCACCCCGGACCGCACCAAATCAACTGCGGCCGTGGTGGCAAACTTCAGAGAGCAATTTTTGTCACCCTGTACCAGTGCGGACCGCACAAAATGGTAGTGCGGCCGCACTGGAAACTTCAGAGACCTGTTTAATTCTTCAATTATGTCCTGCACTGCATCAACTCAATCAAGTTGAAATATATTAACATAAAATCAAGTTGCTCAGCTCCAAACTCTGTCGTCTCTGTTCAAGGACAAACCCTAGTTTCAATGCAGAGCGTTAGAGCGTCTTCCACCTCCATTGCAGTTAAATCTTGCATACTCAATCGTTCTGGATCGTTGCAAGAAGAAAGGGCATTCCTCCGCATGTTTGAAGACTTGCCTTACATTATTCACTATTTCAGAGTTAATATTACCCAAGAAGATGGTGTCACCCTTAACAACTTACTTCTCGAATATGCCTCGGGAGGAAGCTTAGCCGATCGTCCTCACAACTACAATTCAGGGGAAGGGCTATCAGAGTCTGAAGTTAGAAAATACACTAGGAATGTTGGTTTAGGGCTCATTCCCATACACAGCAGAGGAGTTATTCACTACTACAATGGAGGATATCGACGGAGGAGAAAATAGCAAGCGAACTAGACAGAGAAGAGGAAGAGAATCGGAAATTTTAATGGGATGGGGGAAGAGAATGGTATGTATCAAAGTAGAGAGAGAAAGAAAATATTGTAACCGATTAGCGTATTTAGTGGCTTAGGGCTAGGAGGTTACCAAAATTAAATATTTTGCTATAAACTTTAAAAGTTATCTATAGAATATAATTTTTTTAAATGATATTTATTTAAAAGAAATAAGGTGTTAACCTTTGCTATAGGAGGTAAAAATTCCAACAAATATCACCTGATCAACTAGTAAACAGTGGGCCTGGCCCACTTTATAATTTATAATTAACTAATCAAAATTACGTATTTCTAATTCTTAATTTATAATGTGCAATTAGCCTCCAACCACTTATTTAATACACTGTATCATATATTATCATAAATTTTTCTTTACAAGCTTAGGCCCAATAACTAAAAAAATAATTAATTCTTCAATCTCACAATTATTAAGTATATAAAAAAAAAGAGTTATTACAGCAGGTACAACACAACGACTTAAACTTTCCCTTACTAGTCCACGATCTAGTAGTTTCTTGACTTGTCATTGAAGTTCCTCTTGTTGTGTTGGATTCATTCGATATGCTGCTTTATTCGGAAGTGGTGAACATTGAATTAAATCAATTTGATGTTGATTGACCTCATTGGTGGTAAGGAAGAAGATGTAGTATCAGAAACAACATCATGAAACTCATCCAATATTGCTTGAAGTCGTGGGTCATTGACTTCTAATGACTCTTTCATGGTGATATATTCCACTTCCTTAGGCACTACAACAAGCACTTCCTCTCCTTCCTTCAAGTGTTCTTCTACCTTAGCTTGTGTAATGTATGTCTCCTTCATTTTAGGATTTGACTTCTTTAAATCTTCAAGGTTCAGCAGTTTGATCTTCTTTCCATCCTTGACGAAAGAATAAGTGTTCTTGAAGCCATCATAAATTTCCCTTCTGTCATATTCTCATGGTCTCCCAAGTACTAAGTGGCCAGCATCCATAGGCATTACATCACACCAGGCCTTATCTTGATAATTCTTACCAATAGAGAAAGAAATAAGGTGTCGTTTATTAACTTGTACATTCCTTCCTTCATCCAGCCACCTCATGCGGTATGGCTTCTGCAATGGCTCTATCTCAAACCCCAATTTGTTAACCATTTCTTCAGAACTACATTGGTGCAACTTCCTGGATCAATGATGAGTGTACAAACCTTTCCCTTAGATGTACAATGTGTATGAAAAATATTGTGTCGCAACCATGGTTCTTCCTTGCTAAAATCTGAATGAAGAACGCGTTGGATCATAAGGTATTCTCCATCATCTCCTTATTCAGTTACTTATTCCAAGTTTTCATCATGTTGCTCTTCACTTGATACCAACTAACAATCCTAGTTTGACTAGAACTACAAATATATAATCCTACTAAAATCAAAATTAAATTACTAGGAAATAAGAAATAAGAAATCTCAATCTTTAAGGGAAAGAAATCCTAATCTTGAATGGATTCTTGGACTTCTTCAATTTCTTGGAATTCTTGAGCCTCAATTGGACTAAGGCTAGTTAGTGTAAGCATTTTAACTTCCTGACCCAATTCTCCAAATCCATTGGCACCTTCATGAGCAATAAGCCTCCATTGTTGTAAAAAACTTGGCCTCCATATGTTCATTATTTAGCCAACATTAAGGAACCAAGTGTTCCGATTTCAATCCGAACCCTTCTAAATTCCGAACTAACCATCCCGTAAGTTGTAAAACAGTTAAAGCACATACGGGGAGTCTTATTTAGGGAAACGGGGATCTAGAAAGAAAAACGACCGGTCAGATCATTACAGCTGCACGTAAACATCAAATCTAGAAGACTAACAAGGCACGTAGTGTAATTAAAGCAGTACAATTATGATACCTACTAATACAAAATTTCTATTATAACATCTTGTTATTAAAAGTATTTGATTTCCCATTCAACAATGTCAAACCAGTTGATGAAGGGTGTAATATTATCTGTGCTGGATAACATTTTAAATTATATGAAAATAATAAATAGTTTACTTACTATTTATTATTTATTCTTTGGCCGAGCATATATTATTGTTTATTTCTATAATAGAAATAAATTGGCATCTTATATAAAATATTTTAGTATGTGATGTAATAAAAAAAAATTATCTTAAGATGATTAATGTTTTAAATGATCAAAAATCGAATGAAGTACTTATTTTAATAGAGAGAAAATGGAATTTGCTTAAATCACATCTATCTATATATTATTAAAAGGAAAGAAAAAAGCCTCATCTTTAAGCCTATTGGCAGCATTAAAATTGGTCACATGTCATATATTAACTAATTAGCTATTAACTAATAACTAATTCAGCCATATGGCATAACCCGAAAAAGCCATATAACTTATTTCTTAATTAATTAATAATAAATAACTAAATCAAAATATTAAAAAAATTAATAAAATATCTATCCATATTTTAAAAAGAATAATATGATCATAAGATGACAAATGTAGATTTTTAGGACAGCTCCAAAAAAGTTGGAGTTTAGTTATTTTATAATTAAAAATGAAAATGAAAAAAATAAAAATAAAAAGGAACTGCCCATTCAAATTGGGGAGTAGTTTCAAGTTAGATTTTTAAAATAAGAAAAAATAAAAAGCTGCCAATTCAAGTAACGAATAAATAAACTTACTCACGAGAAAACGAAAATTTTTAATTGTAAAATTATAGTGATAAAAGTTATTTGAATTTGAGATGAGAAAGTATCTTTTTAATTATAATGAGAAAAATCATGCAAATAAAAAAATATAACTAAAAACATAGTAGATAAAGTCAAAAATAAAAAAATATAGAACAATGAATGAATTTCAAGTAAAAGAGTAATAAATTAATAATCAACTTTCTCATGATTAAGAAATCTATATTATATTAAAGGAGGTAATAAGCAAGGACATTAAATCTAAAGACAAACTAATAAAATTCATATGATAATGCAATTATACTGAGCAACGAATAAAGCAATAACGATAATCGAGGAACATAAGAAGAAAACATGGCATAAAATTATAAAATGATAAAATGTATTAGAATTTCATATCAGAAAACGTTTTAAGTTTTATTGACAAAAATCATACATATGTAAAATATCATGTAAGTTACATCTTAATAGATAAATTCAGAAACAAAAAATATTAGGTAATAAAAGAATATCAAGCAATAAAGCATAATTTTAAACGATAGTTGACTTTAATAATTAAATCTTAAAAATCAAAATTTTAATAAAAAGTCAAAGGAGAAGAAAAACTTAATTTCTTGGCATATAATATAAAAATAACTATTATTTAAACCATTGGTAGATTTATAACTAAAAAGGAAAAAAATAATTTATATTTTTGATGAATTCAAATGAAGATATACAATGGAAAAAACGTTTCAAAAGAAAAGTTCTAAGAGTATAATATATCCTATATCAATATTATATTAAAAAGAGATAATTACAAAAATATTAAGTCAGTAACAAGCTAATAAAACGCCATAATAGCAAATAAAATAATAATAAATATAGCATATTATATAATAAAAAAAGTGAGGAACTGAATAGTTATTCGATGTCAATATGAATCTTTTTCTAATTTCATCTATTTTCTTATTGGGCATGTTTCACTGGATTAAAAAAAATAATAATAATTCACGCAATATGATATAATATGGTCAAACAAATTAGATCACACAACATGATTTATTTTATCCGCACATATACTAGTAATAGATTATATTTTAAAAAATGTTTGCATGACGTCATCCTCTCCTTCAACGACGCGCACACATCTATTAATGTTGCACTCAAACATCAAATCTAGAAGACTAACAAGTGAGACAGTATAATTAAAGCAGTACAATTATGATACCTAGCTAGAAATACAAAATTTTGAGAGCCAAATGAAAATTATTAAGTAATCTTCAACAACTTGTGTAACGTTTCTAATCTTGAACAAGTAGTGTAACGTTCTCTAATAATGTTCAACTACTTACGTAACGTAATCTCTCTGGCATGGGTTTATGATTTGACTTGCTCTCTTTGTCTTTCTTTGTTTTCACATTTGATTCTGTTGAAAGCCATCAAACAATCAGATCTTTTTCATAGCTATAAAAAGGTAGTATGTGTTTGAAATGGTTGAGGAATAAAAATGGTGAAGATGGGCGTTTTAATATTGGTTTTGTGTACATATTTAGTTGGGAGCATTAAAAGTAGGGAATTGGCGGAGAATGATTGCATAGGTGAAGGAGCTAAGACATGTAGGAGGAATGGGATTGATGGTGAAAGTGGTAAAGGTGATGGTAAATGGAGTAGGAAAGATAGAATATCTGATGCACTTTCAAATAGGCAAAGATATGATGATGGACCTCATGGTATAGCAAGATTGTCGGGTCAAAAGTACGGTTATGTGCCTATTGGACCTTTTATAGGCGGAGGACGACGGCCTGTACCACAAATTCCTGGTGGCACTGGAGGACCTGGACTAGGATATGGTGGTATACCTGGCACCATACCTTCTATAGGAGGAGGATTACCTGAAGGACTTGGGCTTGGATATGGTAGTATTCCTTTGATCGAGGGACCCGATGGTGTTCTTCCTGGTATACCATTGTTAGGACCTGACGGTGTACCTTTAATAGGACAAGTACCTGGTCAAGGATATGATGGTGTTCCTGTCGGATATGGCGTTGTTCCTGGTATACCTTTGATAGGAGGAGGACATGGAGGAATTGGTGGAGGAGTAGGAGGTGGTTTTGGAAAGGGAACAAGCGGATGGGGAGGCGGCGCTGGTGGTGGTGGTGGATTTGGAGGCATAGGTGGAGGCTTTGGAGGAGGTGGTGGTGCCGGTGTTGCCGCTTATGTTAACACCAATACTAAGCATCATTGACATGTAATAAACTCAAATTTGGAAATAAAAGATACTTTCTTCTTCTTTAATACTCATGCATGACATATTTTGCCCAACTTCATTTTATTTATTTAACCGTTTTCATTTGAACAATTTACTTTAAATGATAATTTTATGCTTAGACGTTATTTAGTGGTAAAATTATCTCACCGAGTAATCATCACTAGTTACAAATAGCTATAAATGGTTGCCCAACTAGGATTCTCTGTTTTCTCTTTACATTCTGCCCTCCTTCTGTAGGTTAGGAAAGGGCTAGTTTAGTTCACGTAAAAATCCGTTTTTTTTTCCTTTTAAATGGGGTGAAATTTTTGTGCCGGAGACGTTAAAGTTACGGGGGAAGTGCGTGCACAGTTAGTCACTAATTAGAGATGTCTTTATTTTTTAACCACTGCTTAAAATGTATTTACTCTTTAGCCAGGCTTAATAAAATTTTACCCGCCCGGACGAAAATACCCCTGTGCTAGACATGGGTGCCGTGTAAATATTAAGGACATAGTGTCCTAAACTTCATGAATGTTGTGTAAATATTAAGGACAACGCATCCTTTATTTGCACCTTCCGTTAAACTTTAGGACATCATGTCCTTAACTTCATATGTGTACTGTAAATGTTACTTCATGTTACTTATGTGAACTTATTTGACTGGGCACGAAGTTTAAAAAAGAATGAAGACTTTTGGAATTTGTGGTCCTAAACTTAAGAAAGAATGTCTAATTGTTGTCAGTTTTGAGTAAATCTTTAAACACCATCCTTGTACCCTTTCCACCTACTTTCATACCATATCAAATGCCTAAAAATGCTTCCATATTATTTCCAGAATAAAATGATTCCATACCAAAAGAACCTTAGGTCTAGGAAGTAAGCGTTTTAGCAAACAATACACATACACAATTGTCAGTACTTTAAGGCCCCGTTTGGTCATAAATTTTGTCAAAATAAATTTGAGATTTATTTTCAAAATTCATGTTTGGCCATAAATTTTGCTCATATTTTGGCCAAATCCCAAATCAAAATTTTCAAATTCCAAAATCAGCTATTGAGCTGAATTTGGGCCAAAATCCTAAAACTTGGGAATTATATACATGTTTTTTCAAAATAAAGTTGGAAAATATGTTTTGAAAACGTATGTCCAAACACATTTTCATCTTCAAACCAAACTTCACCCAAATCAGATTTTTCAAAATAAATTTGGGATCTATGGCCAAACGCTAGCTAAGTTTTTTAACTAAAAGCCCGTTTGGACATAAAAAAAATTGCACTTTTTTTCGAAATCAGTGTTTAGTCATAAAATTTCCAATTTTTACTTGAAGATGCATTTTGGAATTTTTTGAAAATTTGAAAACTCCAAAAAGCTATTTTCAAAATTCACTCAAATCACTCACAAAACTTCAAAAACAACCCAAATTATATTCATGTCCAAACACAACTCTAATTTTCAAATACCATTTTCATTTGAATTTTTTTTTCACTTTTTTCTGGAATTTTACAATTCTTATGTCCAAACGCCCACTAAATAAACGTTTTAGCAAAATGCAACCTCATACATAGTCAAGGTTTTAAGTTTTAACTAAGTAAACTTTATAGCCAACACCTCGTCTTTAGCCAGAAGAGCACAAATCCGTGCAGTTAACCAATACTATGCAAAAGACTGAATAATCCAGTGACAAGCATGCCTTGCTACAATACATTAAAGCTGTGTAAGAATTTTTTCCAAGGATCCATTACAACAATTACATCTCAACCCCAATCTGGGGGTCACTATGGATATATATAAATAAAGTACAACATTTATATCTCCTAAATCTTATATTTGGAAGAAAAATTGTTCTACTGCGCCCACCCTTCTATAATTTCTCACCAAGTGGAAGAATATAAAATCAGCTTGGATATACAGCAGGGAAGAAGCCGAAACTGTTTGTTTGCTAAAGAAAATGATACAACATGGATAAACGTCGAATAAGAAGCCAACAGTTCACCCCAACCATTGAGTTTTCCATTGTAAAAGAACCCATCTACCACTTCACCACGACAATCTGCACTGCAGATTTAGCCAACACTTGGGCAGAGTGCAGTTTGTTAGGCTCATCACTTTTGATTCATCGCCAGTAGTCGAAGAGTTCATTTGCTGAGGCATGAGTATCACCGCTGAGACTATACTTATTCCCCTTCTGCACCACGCCCATGCAAGAAATGTTAATGGCCAATTTTTTGTGATCCAAAATTTGTGGGGGTTGGGGAAGGAGGGAAAACAAACAGGATATTTAACACATCACAACCTCAATTCAGCAGTGTATCAAAATAAGCAGTTAGTACTTGAAAGCTCAAAGCAAAGTCTAGATATGCAGCTAGAGGAAGTGGGCTTGTAATAGGGGGATCTGCCAACAAACAGAACTAATCTAAGAACTGTAAAAGAGTAATTTTGGCAACTATTAAGTAGTGAGCTTGCATAAATGTGGCTATGGAATTTATTGCAAAGACTTATGTTTAGGTTACATATTACAGTTAGCGGGTGAAACTTTTGTTGGAAAGGATTGTGTTCAATGGTGACAAAGAGAACACTTGGAGGAGCAGATTCAAACCAGAAAGGACACTGAAACTTTGAAGAGATGGAAAATACGGAGATGTTATTCTAGTCTATTCGTATTTTTGGTGCAAAACATCATATTGCATTATGTGGTTAGCAGAATTTAATTTTTTTGGACATTGGTTTGCATCTAATTTACTCTATTTTCGACAAATAACACCAACTTGGTGTCTTGAAGTCTTTAACAAAACTACTGTCTAATCAAAAAAAAAAAAAAATATATGCTCAGACTTTAGAAGGAAAGAATGTACAAACTGACCTTTTGATGGATCAACATGTACAAAGAAACTGGCTGCAACAATGAGATAGCATAGAATAAGCATCAATCCCTTAAAATAGTTTGATGTTCCTTCCTGCATATTGCAAAGTAACAATTAGAGTTAGTAGCAATCCTTTAATGGCTGAGTAGTATAGGATAGGGAGCATGCTGGACAACATCATCTATTTTATTCAATTGTCCAATTGGTGTGGGGTGGGGGTGGCAGCAGAAGGGTTAGATGACAAACCTGCAGCATAAACGCCACGACTAGCACTGTGATAAAGAGTGTAGCAGTCTCAAACAATTGGAAGTTCAAGTCCATTGGTTTTCCCATGAACCAACCAACAACAACACAAAATGGAATCTGCATTATCAAAAGCATGAGATCTACAGCTAAGCAACTTGATTTACATGCTCTATTATAAATTTTGAATAACTACAAACTGACTGCACTAAATGTACACCACACAAACAAACAAACAAACAAATCCAGTATGTTCTCAGGACTGCCTGTATGAATTAAAATTAAAAAGTAAAAAATAAAATATTTGTCATCGGATATTTTCCAAACTTAATTCAGATGATTCTTGTATCACATTTTAATGTCTTACCACAAACATTGATATCTGAGTTGATGACCCAATTGCAACACCAAGTGTAATATCCTGCAAACAATACCCCGTTAGCAACCTATTCTGGAGCAAATGAGATAGTGAATATGGTTTTTCAAGAACTTACAAGCTTATCTTTCATTGCAAACATGATTGCACTTGCATGTTCTGCAGCATTTCCAACAATTGGAAGCAGGATGACACTAATAAAAGACACCGGCATGTTCATTGAGTCAGATGCTCCCTGAAATCAAGTTAGCAATATGAACAAATTATGATGAAGAACATACAGAAAATCAAAAATCAAAAGAACTTAAACAAAATTTTTAATGTTCAGATATATGCGTGAAGCTTGAATTTACCAAAATGTAGGTGCCTGTATCACTTAATCTAATGGTGATTGAAGTCAATGGTATAACCATGAAATTGCATATGATATTGTCAATCGGATATATGGAATTGGGGAAATATTACAAGATGAAAGATTGAAATTGATTAACAAATAAAATGGGAAAAAAATTGCTTCCAGCAAGATCTCTACCAACGAAGACAAATATATTCCACTATAACGATCAACAGTTAAAAGTTGCAACTCAGCCAGAACCCAAAGTGATTATTTAGGAAAAAGAAGAAGATCAGCGTGTGAGCCAAGTACCCTCATATAACCTAAACGAGACACTTAAAATCAATACCATTTGCTCTGAAGGGGGCAAGTCACAACACAAGCAAATTCTTCTTGGCCAAACGCTGCAGGGAATTCTTAACTAACTCAAAGAATCTTTATTACTTGCTGGCTAATAATACACCACGTATGATACACATTTACAAGGGAAGAAAATGTTAGACTATCCTCTGAAATTTCACTCGATTATCAAAATTACTTTAACATCGAGGTTATATTAGCCATCTCAGAAGATAATTGTCAAACTTGCTGGTTAATATAATACACAGTTAGTGAAGCTTATGAGAAGAAAACGTGTATATTTTTCATGTTTCCCAAGGAAAGCAGAAGTGCCCTATAGTCTTTTCAATTCACTGATCAAACATACAGCCCCATCAGTTTGAAATCCTTTTCAAGCACTTCGTCAAATGACAATACCAAACATATTCTTCTGGCGAATGGCCTGATGGCAGGTCAGGAAACTGATCTCCAATCTAAAGTTATGCTGCAGTGGCATTCATAAAGTTACATTCCCAAAATTTTAGTCAATTTTAAATCATTGATCAGTCTACATATTGCAGATGGCCACATAGTGTTCGGTGTGGTCAGCTAATCCATGCAGATACATTTGTATTGTCTCACTATACATATTGGATGTAATTTCACCTGAGACAGAAATGAGGCAACACTAACTCGGAAAACAATAAGTACTCTCTTAGAAACAGATTGAATGACCAAATTCTACTTCCAACAGTCGGGAAAATATAATGTTTGACCAAATGCTTCATCAGATTCTTTTTAAAATTTTCCAAGTGAGAAAATTACCAGGAAGTATATTCATATAATTCATAAATTACTAAAATCCTTTCTTTTATTAATCAGGTAACCATAATTTTCTAAGGTCTTATCTTTAAAAGGGAAATTAATCACCTTGCAACTTCACATTTCACTCACCTTTTCCATAAAGATATGGTGAAAGACATTAAAAAATATAACATTCAATAGTTTATGGTGGGGTGTCAGAATAGCTCGTAGCGCATGAAGCCTTAATTACAACATCTTGTGTAACTAACAATTGTTGTGCATTTTGAACCTCATAGTGAACCTTAAACTGTGCCATCACTACATAACACAGTGGTCATCATTGCAGGGCTCCAACAAGTTATTTCAAGGCACACGAAAGAGAGGAAAACACACCACAAAGGCTCCAAAGACCATGCAGAGTGAAAATCAAACAAGGATCATTATGCTGGCCAAGTATAGTTCATGAAAGCTTCAGTTACTTAAATCAACAAAGCATTGATTAATTAACACAACAGGAAAAAAGATAAGGGGAAAGTACGATAGTCACTATCTCAATTATCTAAAGTCAGCAGGTTATCACGCAGAAAATTAGCAACTAACTTACCAAAAAATGATAGCATTTTCAATACAGCAGTGAAAAAGTGCCTACAACCAAAAAAGTCAATAAAATAAAAGAAGAAAAGAAAGGTCACCTGGATAGCATCAACGAGATACCCAGATAGCACAGATATCCATATTGTCAAAATAGCAAGCCACCCTATAGCTTCCCATTGTGTTATCTCAGGGGCCTCTTCTTCATCAGAATCTTCGGCATTATTTTCTCTATCCTGTTCACATATTAGAGAATTAGATCAAACTAATGTATCCTGCAGCAACACGAGTTGATATGTCACATTATCATAGTACGAGTTCTTGGTACAAGGTTATTTGGGAACAAAAAACTGAAATTTTCTGCAAACCTTACTCCTCCATAACAGGCCTCTGATTACTAAATAGGAAAACATAGTTGTCAACAGCTAATGCCGCAGACTACCTTAGAGAAATCGTACAAGCTGAATAATCAGAAATAAATTCCAAGATTTTCAGCAATTTACCTCATTGATAGGACTATATAGATTTTGTTGACTCTTGAGCTGAAAAAATAGGTAACTTGCATATGCTATCAGCATTATGCAACTGCTAAACCTTGAAAGAGCCAGCTCTGACTTCCCAAAATGCACTTCTGTGTGCGTGAAATGAAGTACAGCCGGAAACAATATGCCCATGACTGCCATCAATAACAATCCTGAATTCACGATAGCAGTTGCCTGCAATGTAATAATTATCATTAATATTAGCATATAACATTAGTGAGAGCACATTATAGCTGAGATAATACGAAATTACAGTGAAGCATCACATTCACAAAAGACAAAAGTGTTAACTTCATTGGACATTTCGTGATGACACGGTTGATCAGAAGATAATCACCTTACTGAAAACCTGGACTTTCTGATGATGAACAATCCCACCACAGAAGAAAGCACATCCAAGCACCAAGAGCATATTTGACAAAATAGAACCCAGCAAGGATTGTTTAACGACCCTCATCATTCCATTATTCAATGCATATAATGAGATTATCATTTCAGTCGCATTGCCAAATGTAGCATTCAGAAGGCCCCCAACTATACATCAGAAAACAGAAAAGGTCATCCCAATAATCAAAAGAAATGTGCTAGGTCTGTAAACAAATGCACGACTTAAAACTTCCATCAAAGGCAAGCAGAAGAGCAGAAGTACACAAAGAGTATATAACCATTAAAATAGTAGCAAGAAAATCATATCTAGTGATTCGAGTCAAGGAGGATGAAATCCAAAAATTTACTTCAAGGGGTTTCTAGTTCCTCAAGTGGTAATGTGGAACCCACTCCAAGAAAAAATACTTGACTGATTCAATTGTTGCACATCTCAAATTCAACTAATCTTTCCTCATTACTCAATCCCTCGGTAAAAACCAAACTTAACTCACATTTTCAAGTTACTCTGTGGCGGAATTGATATTCAACTTAAACATTGAGATTCCTGCTTAATGACGGTGGTGTCGGGCCAGCTTGCGCGCACCTCGACTATTCCACCGAGTATCTACTGCCTCCCACTAGCAGAGATACCACGTAACTCCGCCATGAAGGTTTAGGTAGATGGAAAGAAATCGCCTAGTAGCTTTTTTATTGAGATTATGCAAGCAATTTGAGAAGCTTCTCTCAATAATTCACTCAAAAGGAAAAAGTTCAAAACTTATTCCTCAAAAACAAAAACAAACAACATATGGTAAAACAACCAATAAACAAATGTGTACCTGTAGGCCCAGTAAAAAATGCAAGCTGCCTACAACAACAACAACATACCCAGTATTATTCAACATTGTATGAAGAAAATTAAGGAATTCAATGAGTGTAAAAGAATTTAGTAGCTAAGGAGAAGTAAAATAACTTGAAGAGCATAAACATACTCAGTTGCATAGCCCAAACGCTCAGCTAAGGGTGTAATCCCCACTAAACTGAAGAAAAAGACCCATTCCTGAAATATCGAAATGAATCCAAGATAAATAAATAAAGCAACTAAATTTTTTAAAAAAAAATAATTGAAATGGAAAACAAACATAGACTAATATAGAATATATGGTAAGTAACCTGCTATATTATACTGATAGTGTGAAAAATCTACTCTAGTGTCAGTGTATAAATCATTTGTGTTTAATTTCTAAGGACTAGCGATTTGAAAATTATTTATACAATCAAGTCACTTTAAAGGTAATTGCAAGTACTATTGATTAGTAATACAGAAAAAAATCTGCTATAACAGACTACCATAGCTAAAAACAAAGATATATGGCAAAAGTTAAAGTTGGAGACTTTATACATGTTTTTTTGTAACATAGTGTAGCAGTATAGCCAGAGGTCCAAAAGGAAGCAAAATATTGATCTTTGCTTTAAGTATAACAATGTATATACTCCTCATAAAGCTGATCTGATCCATCTTCCTTAAAACTCTCGAATATGAGTAGAAACTTCTAGGTGACGCCATATGAGCTGCTGCCTCAAAATGTAGAGTTTCTGTCTTGTTTATAGCATTATGAGATGAACTAAAAGGGATCTCCTCATCAGATTCAAGGTCTACCTTCTCCCCTATAGATCCCATCTCAACACTTTTGTCAGTTGAAAATAGTGAATCAGCCAATTGAATACACTGATTTGAATGCGCAAACTCAGTAAATTACAGAAATTAGAATCGAAATTAGTAGTATCAAATTAGGAGAAAAAGGAAACAGAAAAGAAGGCACTATTTGTGTATATATGTAGATATTATACATAGAAAAATCCGTCCCTGTCCCTGAAACGTGAAGAAGCCGGCGACAGGGAGGAAGACGAAGGTTCTGCGAAGTAGTCTCTGCCTAATAATTTTATTTTTTATTTTTATTTTTGTAGTAATGGAGCACTAATGATAGTATAATAATTTTCTTTTTCCAATATAAGTAGGATGATAAGATAAGGTAGTGATACAATTGTTTTTTCTTTCTGACGTTGAAATTGGATATTTGGGAATTTTTAATTCCTCCAATGTTATGTCATTCTCATTTCCAACTTGAATATCTTTTTTTCCTTTTTTTTAAAAATAATTTACATTATTTTAAAAGTAATAAAAGGATTTTTTAAGAAGGAATTCGTAAGATTTTTTCCTTTTTCTCTGTACTCCCCATCCACTCATTTCTCTTTTACATCCTTCTTGATTTGATGTAAATGTTCAATTAAAGTGTAACTTTTTACCGAAATAGATGTATTCTACCCGTTGGCAATTAAAGTAAATGTTATTCTACCCAACTGGGCTGCGAATGCCTGTTGCTCTCTTGTTTCAGTAAATTTTTCCCATCTTACATATTCTTACTTTTATAAGCACAAAAAAAAGTTAAATTGACTACAATCTCAAGCTGCGTCTGTGTTTTGCTTAGCCGTTGTGACTTGAGGATGGAAGAAATTGATCATCTAATTTCCTGACTGGTTTTGCCTTTTCATCTTTCTCTAAATAATCAATTTTAAAGAGAGAAAATTGATCGTTTAAGAAGCAGCTTGCATCATAATTTCCTGTAAATTAAGCCATTTCGCCTTCTTTTTACCTTGTAAAATGCATGCTTATGTTTTACTCATTGCAAGTTGTTTCCTTGACCATGGAGGTCTGTTCCCTCTCATATTTTCCAATGCATCTCGATTCCATTTTAAAAATAAGAGAAGAAAGTAAGGAATAGTTAAACACAAAGTTTGACTGCAAGCAAAGAAGAGAAGAAACAGTTCCTGTAGCTCCTCAATTCAGCACAAATTTCAACAGCACAGCAAGAAGAATAATCATGCTTCATTTTGCATTAGCCTAGGCAATGTGATATGAGTTTAAGCCAGTCACTTCAGTGAAAAGAAAAAACCACCACTTGCCATGCTCGACAAAGGCTCAAAATTTCTAAATCTGACAGAGGCTTTTAACACAGTATAGTAGCCATAAATTATTGCTAATCAACGGAATCACTTGCCAATTTTCATCCAGCAAGCGTAGGACGAAATTCTAGGCGCTATGTTATTAGAAGATTAATAGTTAATGCAAGCTCCAGGAGACGAGCACTACATGGTTTCAAGGCCATGGCAGTACAAAAAAATTATATAATATAAGAAACAAAGCCCAAGATCCACCCTCGGTCTCATTCTTCAGGAGTATCTGAACGGATGGCTGTTAAAAAGACCAGCAGAAGTATATGTTAGAATACCAAACAAGAAGAAGATGCAGCTTGTGTCATAAAAATAAGACTCAAATTTAAGCAAATAACAAATGAACAGAGAGCCAATCCTATCCTCTATGCCCTACACTTTTTGGCTATAAAAGGACAAAAATCAGACAGCAATCTTGTAGAAACATGAACCTAAAAAAAAAAAATTCACCAACGAAAAAGAAGAAAAGTATAATGACAAGGCGATACAGGTAGATCTTGCAGGTGTGGTTCTCCTCATATTCTTAATAAATCGTTATCTTAAATCCAAAAAAATACAACGATAGGATACAAACATGTATCCCCACAATCAGTGGCGGAGGCAGGATCCCCACGAAGGGGGTTCAAAAAAATTTTTTGTAGCTAGTGGGAATTGAACCCATAACCTTATGTAGATTTTGAACACCCTTGACCACTAAACTACACTTTTGGATTCTGTTAAGGGTGTTCAAAACTTAATATATAGAGGTAAAACACAGATTTTGCCATATATATACAGTGTAATTTTTCGGCGAAGAGTGTTCGGGTGAACACCCTTGCGCCCCCCTAAATCCGCCCCTGCCCACAATGACGAAACCAGGAACTTCGCTACGGTTTTCAATCTTTGATGAAACAAAAACAAAAATTTATTTTGTTGAATAGGTGTATCGAAAATTTTAAATCAAACTACGTAATATTTATCTATATTATAAAAACACTTGTAGTAGACCTAACAATTGTTTAAATCAAAACTAACATGAAGAAGTCAATAAAAGAAATTGTACTAGTGAAAGCATGTCTCAAATATATTATTGCAATTGTAAATGTTTTTATAATTTATATTAGACTCAGAAATAGTTCACAATACTTTTGTTTCTACATAAGGCACTACACGACTGCCATAAAATTCATCCATTTGATTCCGCTAGTCATTCTTGATAAATGTCACTACCGAAAAAGCTTTTTCAACGATTTCGATGGCAACTAACAGAAGCAAACCAAGTTTCACTAAGAGAAAACAAGAGGATATTTAAAAAGCTTCTTTGTAACAACTAGTTTTCTTGAAAAATCATCAAATCCATCTAAAATATAGAACCTTTTATCAATATCACAAACATCAACAACGCAATAAGCAAGCTGACTCTCAAGCAACTATGATAAATTCCTCGATCATCGAGATATAATTCAACCGTTCTCACTATCTTCTTAATAGTCAAGTTAGAAAATGAATCTATTGGATTCAAGTAAGCTACTCTATGAAACAAATCACTTATCACCTAATTAAATTCTTGAAGTTGCCAATTTTATAGAACACTTGCACAACATAATAATGTGAAGTAGTATGATCAACAACTTTAGGCTGTGATCTTCATCGACATAGAACTCATCAAAATTAGGCATCAGATGTCATGATTGATACGAAATGTAACCTTATATTTAAGTAAGTCTGATCTATTATCTGTTGATGTTTGCAACCTTATCTTTACTATTTTAACAAGTATCGTGATATTTGAATCTTGCTTCATCTGTCATTATATTCAACAAAAAAGCAACCTCAAATTTTGAACTTCCAAGATATCCCGATACTTTAGCTCTTTTATCTAAAAGTATTTCATATTCAACACGAGTATCAAGTACATCAACCATATAGCCAAACATACAAATAAAAATTTCAAACGACTTGTAGTGAGATCCCCAACAACTATAATGGCTCTAACAAGACTGAGTTCTTAATTCAAGTTTCTATCGACTTCTAGCTCACTCATATCTGATGTCTCTTGAATTTTTTTTAAGACCAGAGAAATGCATCCACACATTTAAACAAAGCTTTCAACACATTCAAGGTATTCGAAATCGATATATAATATCTCTAACTTGAACACACTTTTTAAAAACTGCAACAACAGTTAATTGAAGTTGATGAGCAAAAAAATGAATAGAATGGTCGATCTATTATTTGTACAATCAACATTTTACGAACATTAATATTACTTTGCTTGCTCAACATAACATTCTCTACATAAATAAGATAAACTTAAAAATTGATTAAAACTATATCAACAATTGCTTTAATTATCGATAATCACTAATATCTTGAATATGAACAAACCTTTCCATCACAAATCTTTTTTATCAATATATTTCAAAACAACTTGCTCTTTGCAGTAACATGTCTAAAGATTCATCAACTATTAGAGAAAATAGTCACCATTTGGATCCTCTATTATAGCTTTAGTTGATTCTATTTTACATGCGGTCACAATTTCATTTCAAATACCTAGAGTTGTTCTTTGGAGCCATGATTGTGGAATGTGAATCCTCGCTGCTAGAAAAGTCTAACAACACCACTTGAAGTATTAAAATAAAGCCGATATTCATACTTAATCAGATCGCCTTTCATATGCAGCATGGATTGACTATTATTGCCATAATAGATCTTCACAATTTTTTTGTTTGATTATGAACGCTATGCAACGTTTATAAAGAAAATGTGAAAATCTGATGCAACAACAGTAGTCGATTCATGTGGCATTTGACATGCAATATGGTCAAGTTAAACATGAACATTGATATCATGACAAAAGTAAATCGTCATTGAACGAGGGTAATTTATTGATTCATGATACGCGAATAGATGTGATAAAACTGAACATGTGTTGGAAAATGCTCCAAAACACAATAAGATGACTTCTCCAAATATTTCAAAAAGAAATTGTGATAGCATGTAGCTAAAAACAATTTAGGCTATAACAGAGGATCTAAATGGGCGACTATTTTGATGATTTTGTTGATGATTTCTTAGACGAGTCACGTAAAAAGCAATTGGCTATTGTTTTGCGATATGCTGATAAAAGAAGATTTGCAAGTTTATTGAAGTTGTTATTTTCAAGATACTAATGCTTTATCTCTAAAGAAAGCAATTGTTGATATACTTGTAATCATTATTTGAGTTTATCTTATGTACGTAGACAATGTTATACTGCGGAAAACATTATGCAAAGTGGTCTCAGTGGTCATAAAATGTTGATCGAACAAGAAAGTAGAATGGTTAATTTTATTCATTATTTTGCTTATCAACTAACACTAACTCTTGTTGCAGTTTCTAAAAAGTGTGTTCTAGTGGAGAACTAGTATTATTGATTTCAAATACTTTGAATGTGTTGCAAACTTCTCATGAACTTCAAAAATCTCACAAAAAAAACTCTAAAAGGCATTAGATATAGGTGAGCTAGAAACTAATAGAGGCATGAACAAAGAATTTGATCTTATTAAAGCCAATGGTTATTTCGTTTCGAAACCTATTTATAACTCTAATTCTACTATTGATGTACTTGATACTCTTGTCTAAAATGCAAGTACTTTAGATGAAAGAGCTAAGGCATCAAAATATTTTGGACATTGTAAAAATGTAAGCTTACTTTCTTGCTGCATTTTAATAACAGAAAACAGATATATGGTGAGTCACATATGAGCTTAATGTATCCCGAGCAAGGACCAAATTATTGCAAATTTCATGATACTAATTAAAGTAGCAAAGAAAAACTGCAAGCATTAAGTAATAATGGATAGGGTTCAGTTGTTGATAAGGTATATAGATTTTATATGAAGCAACACATTTCTATACTTAATTTTGATGAGCTCTATGTTGACTCTGAAAGATCATGATGCAAAGTCGTTGATAATACTACTTTACATTATTATTCTATGAAGCATGACTATCCTAGTGAATCAACTTCCTAATTACACATGAAATTGATAAAAGGTTATCCAATTTAGATGGACTTGGTGATCTTTCAAGAAAACTAGTAGTGACAAATAAGCATTTCACTTGTCCTCTCGCTTTCAGCTTAATGAAACTTGATTGCTTGTAACAATTGTTACTACAACCGTTGAAAGAGCTTTTTCAACAACAAAATTTATCAAGCCTCTAAAGATGTTTAAGCTCAAAAGCTAAAAGCACGTATAAGCAATCATTGGCATAGTCCAACTTCCACATAAAAAGTAACGCCAAACATTTAGTCGACGAAATTAATGACCTAACTTCCATATCATACAGTAAGGACACCTATTGCATTATCTAACTGATGCTATGGAGGGAGTGTAGAGGATACAAATCCACCAAAGTTCTTTTTTATTGGAATTCAGAATTTAAACTTTGATTCGAGTTCGGGATTCCATTATAGTTCAATTGATTTACATGGTCCAAAATCTATTCTTGTACTTATTTAGTGAATTTTTTAACACATACAAGGTATGATCCAAAGCTACTAGATTCGTGAGAACCCATAACTTACACACTATACCCGCCCTTGTTGAGTGAGATTGTTAGAGCACTCTCAGAACTCTACCCTAGCAGAGTTAACAATACCAAAAAGATCCACAAAATTCAACAGACACACACACAGCCCAAAAAATCCCATCAGCCAGTCAGAAGTCCAACCTTTTTCCATTCTAATACCCATCGAAATAAGCAAATTTGAACGAGTTATTGGAATATTATCTTACAATCGAATCAGCGGAAAGATCTATACTTTCATGCAGCAACCAACGTTATTAATCGATAAAAGGGAAGAAGATTGGGAATGCTTACTGGGTTTTTGAGGTTTGCCATCGACCCATTTGGAGACGGAGTAATGGACCTTCTCACGGGTCAAGGCTTCGGACTTGTAAGGCTCCTTAAGGCAGTTCCTAACCAGATTAGCGCACAGGTTTGAGTATGTTATGTAAGTCATCCCCGCTGACCTCCAGAATGGTGCTGCTGCGTTCGACGCCATTTTTCCTCCGCCGCTCTCTTCTTCCTTGATCGTTCGTGCTCCTTTTTACTGACAAGGTATTTACATCTTGGTCGCACGACTATTATAAAGATGTATTCCCATACTAATTTTCTTTGCATTTTGCACCCTAAGGAATATGTGTCATTTCTTAATTGGCACATTATATTTTTTTTCTTTTACAATACAATTTGCTCAAGGGGTGTCAATTTAAGGGGCATTTGCATTTATACTCGTTTTTTGTGCCACATTTTAACCTGTGCCCGCTTTGCAAAAAAAATTGCAAGCGTACCCGCTTTTTCACATAACTTCAGCATGCGGGGGTGAAGTAGCAAAGGCAATAACACAAAACTTCAGCATTTTAGTAGCCGGGCCTGAAGTTCAGCTCTAGAGCTGAAGTTTTTGTTTTGTAACTCGCGAAGTTTTATTTTATAAGTTTTTGTTTAGTAACCGAAAACTTCAGCTCTAGTGCTGAAGTTTGCCAGTTATAAAATAAATTTTATTTTATAAGTTTTTGTTTAGTAACCGGGAAACTTCAGCTCTAGAGCTGAAGTTTGCCAGTTATAAAATAAAAACTTCAGCTCCGGAAACTTCAGCTCTAGAGCTGAAGTTTTTGTCTTTGTAACCGGAAAACTTCAGCTATAGAGCTGAAGTTATTTAGTTCATTGTATGTTTACTACCCCAAATAACATTCTTTTCACATAAACTTCAGCTATAGTTCTATTTAATTACTACTAATTATTTTTCCACAAACTACAGAACCTTCAATTTACTACATTATCAACAACTGTAGTATTCTACACAAGGCAAAGAAGAAAGAAGAAGATGCATTCTGTGAAGGAGAAAGTAAGCAACGCAGTGGAGAAAGCAGCAGCAAGGACAAAGGAAGAGGTAAGCAACGCAGCGGAGAAAGGGAGCTGAAGTTTTTTAAAAAGTGAGTACAAGTTAAAAGTTTTTAAGAAAATGGGTATAGGTTAAATGGGGGCGACCAAATAGGACGCCCCGTGCAATTTCTACTCAATTTAAGCCTAAACCCATGGGGGCATTTGCATCTATACCCGCTTTTTGTGTTACATTTTAACTTGTGCCCGCTTTGCAAAAAAAATTGCAAGCGTACCCGCTTTTTCGCATAACTTCAGCACACGGGGCTGAAGTAGCAAAGGCAATCACGCAAAACTTCAGCATTCTAGTAGCCGGGCCTGAAGTTCAGCTCTAGAGCTGAAGTTTTTGTTTTGTAACTGGCAAACTTCAGCTCTAGAGCTGAAGTTTTTGTGTTGTAACTGGGAAACTTCAACTCTAGAGCTGAAGTTTTTGTGTTGTAATTTTTGTATTGTAATTGGGAAACTTCAGCTTTAGAGCTGAAGTTTTTGTGTTGTAACTGGGAAACTTCAGCTATAAAACTGAAGTTTTTGTGTTGTAACTGGAAGAGCTGAAGTTAATTCAGATTTAATCATAACCATCCAATTAGGTAAGATTTCCTCAATCTTTATCTATGTTTTACAAGTAAAATAAAGACTCGAAAACAAAATCAGGTTCCTTTCGTCATCTGGAGTTTATCTATTTATTTAGTGTTCACATCTAGGTTTAGTTTGTCCCATCCCCCAGATGCAAGGGATTGGTATTTTCATTAAAAAAAAAATTTTTTTGGGTGAGAATCTGTCTGAGTGAATTTGTTTATACTGTCGGTCCAAAGCTCGAATAAAGAAGGCGACCTGTAATATCCAATGTAAAATGACCAACAAAGCAGCAAGCACATCGGTGCCTTAGGAAATTAGGGACAGGTGCATGAAGTTTCTTATCTAAAGCTGAAGAAAGAGAGCAATGTTGAAGTCATCGTTGTAGAAGAAGAAAAAAAAATGAAGGAAGAGAAGAAGGAGGAGAAAGGGAGCTGAAGTTGTTTAAAAAGTGGGTACAAGTTAAAAGTTTTTAAAAAAATGGGTATAGGTTAAATGGGGGCGACCAAATAGCGCCCCGTGCAATTTTTACTAAACCTATACAACCCCGCCCAACCCGTCCAAGGTTGGGCCGCTCATTGACCCGCCTATTATTGTAGTCAGCCTATTTTAACCCAACACATCTCAGCCTATCTAAAGTTGGGTTGATTTTAGCACAAATTGATGCATGAGCAACTTTGTTAAAATATCTTTAACATAATTTTTTTGTGATGTTATATATGACCATAACAAAAAAAAAATCCTATTTGGTGATTAAGTAATTTAAAAAGAAAACAACACACATTAATTAATGTTTGATAAGAGTTGAGCAGGTTGGGCTGTGACCCAAATTTTAGTCCATCTTGACCCAACCCCAATAACTTTTTGGACGAGTCATTGACCCCCTCTCCCCACCAAATTTATTGACCCATCACATTTTGACCCGCCCAAAATCAGCTCAACCCGCCCATTTGACATCCCTAATTTGCTCCATAAATAAAATTTAAAAAAAAAAACTCATTTGCAAAATGACAAAATAGGAATAATACAATTTTGGACATTACAGCTTGTTTGGATTGTTGTCACATGTCATCCCATAATGTATTGTATTGTTTGATAAATACAATATTTGAATAGATTGTATCATTTATCGTCGTTTCATGATGTCACGCACTAACAATATGAAGAATAAACTTGCAATTTTACTAAGAAAAAATAGGATACGAAGTAGAACTATCTATATTATTATAAAAGCATGAATACAATGTCGGTTTACAAAAATAAACTTATAATATTAAGCATAATAACTTATAATAAAAGGACATAACCGGAATTCTAGATATTAGCCTTATAATCGTATTTGTTTTTGGACATAATACTACACATTAGGAATCTTATTAGTATAATTACTTTCCGACGGTCTATAAAATTGAACAAGTAAATATCTTTATTCATGTAATCATATTACTTTTAGGATATACTTCTTAAAAATTTCTATTACTAATTTAATTAGAGAATGCATTATAATGTCCTATTACTAATTTAATTTGAGAATGTATTATATTGTCCAAATCTATTTAGAAAAAGGAGAGTCTATTTTATTATAAAAGCATAAATACAATATTAATATACCAAAATAGCCCTAAAATATTAAGCGGAAGAATAGAGAAATGACATAACTGCAATAACCTATTTTTTGGACTACAACACCTTCTTTGCTAATTTTTAATATTTAAGATTTTAAAATTAATAGAAAAAAATTCTATTAAATTCTAACTAAAAATATGTAGGAAGGTTTAATAAAATCAATTTCATAAGAATCCTCCGTATTGGCAATATATTACCACTTCATAATGTCCAATACCAAAAAAATATTAAATGGACTGCATAAAAAATTAAAATTGATAAAAAAAAAATACCCCCACGATAATATATTTTATATTATATTTGAACTATTTTCCTACTCAAATAATATTTTTTTAATCAATTTTTCATGTAATATTGAAAAATACCCAATTATTAAACAACAACTAAGAAAATATTTAAGAATATAAATGTGTAAGAAAGAAAAAAAAATGGTTGGTAAGAGTCAATACCACTAATGATTCTACAAACATAAAGATCTAAAAGTGAAATGTCACATCAATCTTTTACTCATTGGAAATAAATTTTGTAGTGGAAAAAATGATAATTAAGATTAAATATTCAAAACAAGAGATGAACTAGTATTAAGATTTGAATCAACATAGAATAAATTATTTTTTATGTTAAAATCAAATAATTAATTATTTAGCAAGAGAATCCAATTTAATTTTTACCTTTGCTAAATGCATGAAACCAGATTTTGCTCAGTTCTGGTTTCCTTCTTCGCGAACGCGAAGGGACCATCGCGTTCGCGTAGAAAGAGTTGGGCTAGGGGGAAATGCACTTCGCGTTCGCGAAGGTCTGGGCCAGTGACCTTCGCGTTCGCATGAGGCAACTCGTGTTCGCGTAGAGTAGGGTAGCTGGCCGGGCCAGCTTAGTTCATCGCATTTGTGGGTCCATTGTCGCGTTTGCGATGAAGGGCCTTCAGAGGGCTTGAGCCAATGGCTTTCGTGAACGCAAGGCCCCTATCGCGTTCGCGATGAAGGGGGCAGCTGGGCAGTGAGTTTAAAATCGGGACTTAGGCATATTTGGGGTCATTTATTACATACATTCTTGGGCGATTTGAGAGCTTCAAAAGGGGAGATTTCAACCTAGCTTGGTGAGGTAAGTAATTTCTAGCTAATGTGAGTTTAATACATAGTTTATGGATTGATTACAACATGTAAATTAGTGGAAATTATGGGTTTAGAGTAAAACCTAGGTTTTTGATAAAAATGAGATTCAACGACGAAATTTGTTATGGAATGTAGTAAAAAACATATATTCTTGATCCTAAGGTTGTGGGTAACAACTTTCTTCGAAAATTTTTGGAATACGGGCACGTGGGCCCGGGGTGAATTTTAGGAATCTTATAATATGGGTTGGGTAATCACACTAATAGTGGGAATATGAACTTTTGAGCCTATATTGATTAGTTTTTATGTTATTTGGATAGTTTCGGATTGTTCGACACCAAATTAAGGGTTTGGGCTTAAGCTTGGACCGGAAAGTAGACCTTGAAGCGAGGTAAGTCTCTTTTCTAACCTTGTAAGAGGAAAATTTCCCCATAGGTGAACTAAATTAATACAGGATTATTGGGGGCTACGTACGCACGAAGTGACGAGAGTCTGTACGTAGCCACCGTTCTTGTTATGTCCGGGTAGTCTAGGCTTACACCATGCTTTGTGGGTACCATTATCTGAGCATATTTTGTTGTTCTGCGTTGAATAGAACTATGTTGAGAATTTTCAAGATTTCAAAGGTTTCATGTAAATTATTATTTTGAAAAGAATTGAGAAGAATATCGTTACATTTATATTTAACCGCGTCGCAAGTATATTCCGTGAGCGGGGTGACTATTTCCACTACTCTCATGGGAGCGGGCTGTTCGCCTCGATAGGTTAATAGATGCATCTATGGTTTGCATCGTTCGACCCTCGGTAGTGCACAGTTTACTTTTATATTGGATCGGGTCGAACGTCCTCTGTGGAACTTATGCGTGATAATAGAACTGAAAGTC